ATTACTCCAGCAAAGCCTGTCCTGTGCATCCTTTTCTATCTGTTTCCATGATGTCCCCGCCTTTTTCATTTCCGCTTGTACCGCTCACCTCCATGTCATCTTTGGTCTTCCTTTCTTACGTTTTCCTATGTCAAAGCCTGTCTGATGCTGCTTGACGGGGGTCTCCTCACGGTGTGTCCAATCCATTTCCATTTCTTCACCTGTATGTCTTCCTTTTACTGACCTTTGGCTTGTTCTTTCCCACAGTTGAGCATTTGTGTCTCGATCGGGATCAGATTCTAGTGTATACTTAAGTATATTTGAAATGCGATGTCCGTCATTTGTAGAGATTTTCCTCCAGCTGGCTGTAAAATTTGATGTTTCTTCATTTGTCGTCGATTCTCGTGTTCCAGCGAGCTGACCCAGCTAGTGAAAGAGATTGATCGCCAGGCGCCCGAGGTCATCCAAAAGGCCAAGTTTGTGGTGTCCGGCGACCTGACTGCTCTCACCGACCTCTTAACCGATGCCGCAGCCTGGGCCAAGAAGGTAGGTCAAGGTCACTGACTTTGAAGTCAAAGCAAAAGTTATTCCCGGATCCGATCAGTGGGTGGTTGGCGGGTGCTCTGGGGTGGTTTGCTCCTTCTTTTCTATCAAACATCTATCGTCCTTATCTCCCCTCTTTTTTTTTTGTGTTTGTTACTCTCTTGTAATACCTCTAATCTTGGGCACTTATATGACCTTATTGTGTTGCAAGTGCTGTAAAACTCTTACTAGTACTAATACACCCAGCAGGCAATATATAGGGACTGCTATAAAATAATTGTCTAAGTCATTTTATTTTTTTGTTTTCTCAAAAGACTCTTTGAAAAAAACCTGCCTACTTCACCCAAAGTCAACATTGGGGCCCGGGGAAAGTTGAAAACGTTTCTATGTTTGGATTTTTACTGGCAAAGAAAACAAAACGTTGTCTGTACTGAGAGTGGGAAACAAGTAACTGGCGAAATTTGTCACCGTACGAAAAGCTGGAAATGTGATGGAAAAAATGTCTCCGACAACTGTGTTATGATTGTTCCAAAGGGGCTCCTATCGTCCTTACAATCTCTCCTCCCTCTTTTTTGTGTTTGTTACTCTCTTGTAACACCTCTAATCTTGGGCACTTATAATAACCTTATTGTGTTGCAAGTGCCGTAAAACTTTTACTAAGACTACAATGTCCCTCAGCTGGAGCGGGCGCGGATCATCGTGGATGTGGCGGCTGACCGCTGGCTCATGCTGACGGGTGTCCTGTGCCAGGCCATACACACGCACGACGGGATTCAGCTCAAGGTCATGGTAGGTCGTAGGTCACTGTTCAGGGTCGTGGTAGGTCGTAGGTCGCGGTTCAGGGTCGTAGTAGATAGTGAGTCACTATTCAGGGTCGTGGTAGATAGTGGGTCACTATTCAGCGTCGTGGTAGGTCATAAGTCACAGCTCAATGTCGTGGTAGGTCGTAGGTCACAGCTCAATGTCGTGGTAGGTCGTAGGTCACAGCTCAATGTCGTGGTAGGTCGTAGGTCACAGATCAATGTCGTGGTAGGTCGTAGGTCACAGCTCAATGTCGTGGTAGGT